TGTCGCCAGTGGAAAGCCAGCAGACCCAATGGGCTGCGGCGGGGCCCCCTCCACATCGGTTCAACCCCCTGTTTTTGTTAACGACAGGGAAATACTACTACTACTACTACTAATTCCATCATAGTCATCATAGCAACCACAGCAATAATGATAATTATACGACTGCTGATAATGGATACTACTAATGATGATAGTGATGAATGATGGTGAACATCCCGGTACGGAACTTGCGGGCCTGGGGGCTGTTCCCTGCGGTGATTGCTCGGGCAGATTTCAGCACGTTGGAAACGGCCCTTCGCCAGCCCTGTCTCCGGGGAGAGGATCTGAGAAGGTCGCTTTGGCCCCGGGCTGGCAGTTTCTGGTGAGACTTGGCCATCGCTGACTCCTCCAGCGACGCCCGGGTGGAGAGGAACTGCAGGGAGATTCCTTACATTTCCGTAAGGAATAATAATAATAATAATAATAATAAAAGTTCAGCGAGGCGAGGTGTCCCGGGGGTCGCTGCCTTCACCGGGCTCCCTGCGATCGGGATGGAGAGGAAAGGGCAGAGCCCAGGAGGGGGCCCCTAGCAGAGAGGTGCTTGTTCAAAGCTACAGTCTGATGATGGAAAAAAGGACAGGGACATGAAAAATGTATGGGCCAAAAACCTCTAACCAAGCAGCGATGTTCGTTCGTTTCTTCAACGATGATGGGAGAAATAAACTCAATTTAAAACAATTTGTTGTGTTGGTTGGAAGAAGGATGAGGGTTGCAATTTGGGTTTGAAGGAGCTATTGAAAGCTGCTGCTCGTTACAATCTGCTTTAAATATCTGTTAAGCTCCTGTTAGTTTGGAGAAATTTTGCAAATCAGGATCACATGCCCTCCAGTCTTCTTCCAACCGAAACAAGAAGATGAACCGGGTTTGCACAAAAGTGTCACATGAAGAGACGTCCTTTGTGGGCACTTCTCATGCTCACTAATAAGAAACAGATGCTAATAATAAATATAAATAGTAAATAAATGCTAGAATGATATAAACAGGAATCACTGGAGTCAACCAAGACATGCAGACAATTCCTGGGATCTGAAGATGAGGCAGCTTGAGTTACGTTTCAGTAAAATAATGCATTAAAAACGAAGTGAGCCAAACTCAGATTAGGCACAGGGGAGGAAATATTGAATCAACAAGAGCTGGAGACTTGAGCAATGCCCTGACAGGGGAATTCCCTTCCCCCAGAAGTGCGGTGCTGGGGACCAGCCTGGCTGGCAGCTCTCACACGACTGCAATCACCAGCTCTTGAATGGGGAGCTCCGCTCTGGAGCGGCCGGGACAGGTCTCAGGGAACCGAGGAGCTGGCACCGCCGAGGGACACACAAAACAATCTTTGCGTGTTACACCGCGTTCTGCGTTCCATTGTTCACTCCTGGCCAATCAGGGCGCTCCCTATCCCTCGCCTCCAATCGCCTCTGGGGCTGCTGCGGCAGCCCGGTGAGGTCACCGCTCCCCCTTCAGTCGGTGCGGGCCGCGGGCCGCTGCGTGCTGACATCATGCTGCGTGTGGGACAGGGCAGGCTCCGCTCCACAACTCCGCCGGGCTGGAGTAGTTAGTTAGAAACAGCAGGCACTGGGCAGGCAGCCTCCTCTTTCTGCATCATAACACTTTGCACACATCTCTTTCTGCATGGTGGATATTATTTTTCATTATCCTTTTCTGGGTGCTATGGGGGATCATTCCAAGAGTAAGTCGATCGCTGGCATGAACGGTATTTGTCCATATTGTAACGAGCGTTGCGACGGGGATTCTACAAGTGGTTTATTTGCACTGATACTTTAAGAGAGCATTTAAAAATTGGGCATTATTTTGCAGCTAGAAATATTTTCCTTTTATACGGTCTGTTGCTTCTGGTCGTTTTGAAATCCAAACCCTATTTTTCCTTGACGTGTCTTGATTCCAGGCTGCGGAACTCGTTGCTTGGTTTTTTTTTCTTTTTCCTTTTGGATTTATTTTTTTAAAACGTTGTAATTGAATGTTTGATTGGATCGTGCTCTGTCCATCCTTTTTTTTTTTTTTTACTAGGCACTAATGATGAATTATTAATATATTAAATTAAACACGTAGTAGAGGCATTAGAAAGGCCTAATCTTTTTTTTTTTTTTAAAGGGGATGCAGAATAAATGCAGCTGAAATACCGCCAGGAGATAAAATTCATCTCGTTTTCCTTTGTTTCAGTAGCTACCTGCTCTATATTTTTCAACCTTCGTCTTTGCCATTGCACCTCCCAATTGATTCTGTAAAATCTCCTTGCGGTCCGAGAGTTTACACAAGCGGTAATTTGTGGAGAATGACTGCTGCCGTTTTTCAGCTTCGCGATTTAGCTTGCTTGCTTTCTGTCTGTCTGTCTGTCTGTCTGTCTCTCGCGTGCCTGAAAAGACTAAGGCTTGTAATGACTAGTGCCTCTGTGATTTCAAGCCTGTGAGAAGTTCTCGCTAGGGTCGCGGTGCCGTTCTGAATGTCCTCTGCTCGTTTCCACTGGTAGAGAAGCCCGGGATTGCCATGTGTGTGGGCTGTGGGAGTCAGATCCATGACCAGTACATCCTGAAGGTCTCCCCGGACCTCGAGTGGCATGCAGCATGTCTCAAATGCGCTGAATGCAGCCAGTACTTGGATGAAACCTGCACTTGTTTTGTGAGAGATGGCAAGACATACTGTAAAAGGGATTATATCAGGTGATTCAAAAAGCTCTTTATCCACTTAAAGGCAAACAACCCACCCCCCCCCCCAAAAAAAAAAAAAATCCCCCCCCCCGCCCGCCTATCATGCGC